TCAAAAAACAATCAATTTACCTTTCAAATTACTTTTCTGGGTTTCTCCTTTCTCATTCGGTTTAGAATCACCTTTCATAACCCAGAGCTGGCCACTTGAAGTCAGTGTGGCTTCGGTTAGACCGGCGGGATGGACTTCACCGCTGCATCGCCACCGCCATTTCCCTTTGATGAAATAACATGGGGAGAGATAATATCCAAAAATGTCTTATCAGTCTACAATTCTCTACCGAAGAAAGGAAAGCCTCAAGGCCGCGAGGTCACCGTTTTGGCTGCATTTCTCATCTCTTCTCCAAATCATGGTACTGCCCAATTAAAGGTTTGAAATTTATAAACTCACAGTCTGTATTCCCGTTGCCCATGTAGTCATTTTCTTGTTAATTTCAGAACTGGAGGTTGTTTCACTGGGTACCGGGACGAAATGTATTGGGCGTTGTAGAAGGAGCTCAAAGGGCGATGTTGTGAACGATTCTCATGCTGAAATTGTAGCTAGAAGAGCTCTTATGAGGTTAAGTTTTAGTTTTTATATGCCCTCAGTTTTATCCTTACATCTGATATGTTGAATGCTGAAATTGTCTAAGAGTTTAGTTTTATACTTATATCTGATTTTTGGAATGCCTTGAGACTTGGTCGCAAATCCAAGATGATTATGCTCTCATATGAAATATCAGCCTTCTTAGTTCGTTTAGAGCATTTCTATAAACTAGCAAGTAATTTTTGTCCACAAATATAAAGCATTTTCTTGAATAAATAAAAATAACTAATAACCTTTCTCTGGATCATATCAGATATTTATATGGAGAGATTAAATGCCTAAGTGATGGTTATCAGAGTCATACTATCTACCCTAACAGGGAAATGTTGGGTACTGCTGGCAACAAAAACTGTCCTTTCAATTTAAATGGAGAAGATTTTGGTCAAAGACGATTAGTTATGAAGCCGGGTTGGGGCTTACATTTATACATATCACAAATTCCGTGTAGGTACTTATTTCTAGATCTTTTTGGGTTAACAAAGATTGAAGTTTTTTAATTTTGTCCTTAAATGCGTCATTTCTTTGTAGGCGGAATAGCCTCAAATAGGTCAGAATTTGCTCCTCAGAGAATGGACAATCAGCTTTATTCCTCACTGGACCTCAATGAAACAATTGACGGTATTAGTTCTATTGCACTTTGAGTGGTTTTGTCATTATACCATGAACTGTTATCTTTTGTAGGTTACTTATTGTCTAATATTCATTGGTTAAGCTATTAATGTTATCAAGAATTGTGCACATATCTTATAACATCTTATAACATGCTTCTGTAGTGTCACCATTTTTAGTTATTTTTCTCCCTCTTGAATGTCATACTATATGCCCCTTTATGTTTAATCTCTCTATGTGCCGTGTATAAAGATATCGAGTTTTGTAGCTTTGTGCTGTATCATATCAAGGTTTCCATTTAATCCTTCCACTACATGGTGTTGATATGAAGATGTTATAATGTTAAAAAAGGTTTTTATAATTAGATGGGCCATTTATTTTCAGGACGGCATTTAACTGATATATGAACTTGTCAATTTTTGTAGCTTTGTGCAATATCTTATCGATTTTTCCATTTAATCCTTCCACTACGCGGTGTTGATAAGAATACATTATAATGTCAAAAAAGGTTCATATAGTTAGATGGGCCACTTATTTTCAGGACAGCATTCAATTGATATTGGCACAGTTTTGAGGAAGCCCGGTCGTGGAGACTCTACATTGTCTGTCAGCTGTTCTGATAAGATTGCCCGTTGGAATGTTGTTGGAGTTCAAGGTTTCACGCATATTCACTCTTGTAGTCTTGTTTGAATGTGAAATGAATTGATTGTAAGGGTATCTAAGTATCTTTGGATCTCGTATAATGCTGGCCAAAAGAAAACAAATCCACATGATATTTTATATATTTGGATTTACCTTGGAAAATGCAAATGGGGAGCATCATAATTTTTAAAGATTTTTATTTAGATGTCTTAGTTTGTTTATATGATTTCCATCATTTTCAATGGAGTCAAAAACTCACTATATTTTGGTTTGGGAATATGATGGAATAAAGTAAAATGGCTTACTAAACTGTCTGCGCTTCTTTGTTATGAAGCAACAGTTAGTCCATGCAATTTTCGATGCGATTTTCACTATGGGTCATCTGGAAACAGTCTCTCTGTGCTTTAGTACAGGGGTAAGACTGTGTACATCCGACCCCCCTTACCCCACCGTAGGTGGGAGCCTTTGCGGCACTGCGGTAATGATGATGATGAGTCTGTTTATATAATAATAGTAAATAAAAAAATGAGTATTTTCAAAAGTAAATTTATTGAGCTGGGTGTATCTTTTATCCCCTAAGTTGTGTATCTTTCAAGTTTTACACTATAACACTACATTATCTTCCTTTAGCATTTTCTGGGATTGAAATGGATTATTTCAAACTAACTATTTAGTGTCTCGGTCAACTTTGTTTTTGGTACCCACTACCCAGGAGCTCTACTCTCTTATTTCATGGAGCCAGTTTACATTTCTTCAATAACAGTTGGACAATCACATGCAAATACTGAAAGGTCCAACATTCATGATCAAATGAGGAGAGCTGTCTATGACCGGCTTCTACCATTATCATCCAAGTTAATGCCCCCCTATAAAGTGAATAAGGTTTCTTCAGCTTTCTCCCACTTAGTGATTTCATATAGATGTAAAGAATTAATAATTTGTGTGCATATTACAGCCCATTCTCATGGTAGCTCCAATACCATCAAGCGAGTTTCAGCACTCTGAAACTGCCTCAGCAACCCTAACATGTGGGTATGCCTTAGTTGTGTGCTCAATTCTTGATTTGGAGATTTTTTTTCTGGTCCATCTAATTATAACACTTCTTTGCTTAAATAACTATCACTCTTGAACGGAAGGTACTCTATATGTTGGAACAAGTTGGGCTTGCATGAAGTCATTCTTGGGACCACAGGAAGGAAGCAGGGTACCTCTGCAAAAGGAGCATTTTCTCCCTCCACTGAGTCATCTTTGTGCAAGTAAGCCACTGGTTGGTTGTAATACACCATGTAAGAGGCGGAACATTGAGGGGGGGGGGGGGTAGTGTGGTCTGCCGTTGAAATTGTTATCCGTGTAGGTTGAATTATCTAGATTTGTTGAACAAGTAGGTATATTGTATGAACTGTCCCTATAATTGAAAAATCATGAGTCCATAACTGATGTTGGTGTCATATTTTGCAATGATTGACCAGGAAGCGCTTTTTAGAGCTGTTTTGCCCCCTTTATAGTGATTGGCTGGATCAACATGTTTCGTGTGAGACTTCTTATCAAGAACTAAAGGTAATGTTTACTTCTCAGGTCCTTGGTATACTAATTTGTCTCTTAAGCTGTGAGCACCTAATGAATTACTTGTCATCTAGAGCCCTGGTCACGTTCCAATGATTTGCATTTGTATTGTACAATATCAATCCTGTAATGGAACATGACATTAGCATAAGTCTCAACTTATTGACTTCCCATCAGTCATATTTTCCATGCATTTCAAAATAATCTATAGTATTGACGTTTTAAGAATTTTAGTCTCATTACTGTTTCTAATAAAAGATTGCTGTAGGAACGCATCCAAAGTAAAACATTACCATTATGCTTATTTGCATGATTTTATATTGTTAATTAATCTTATACAATTAATTGGCACTATATATTTATAATACAAACAGGATGATGATTATGATTGTCGCCTACAATCGATCTAGCTGGTCTTACTTACTATCTTAGGTAGTTAGGGATGACAGGGCAGGGGCTAACAAACCTATTGGAATAAACAATTTCTTTTGTTTCGGTTGCAGGGAAAGGCTCTTGATTACATTCTAGTTTCAAAAGCCTTTAAACAAATCCCACATTTTAAAAACTGGCTTATGAAACCTCACAACTATGAGTCCTTCGTGCATACTGGAATGCGAGACCAGTTATTCTTATAAGATGAGTTCACTTCTTTTAATAAAGCTGCTTGAGTAAGCGTTACTTCCATTGCTTTACTTCTATGTTTCTTTAATTCACATTTCCTCTGTTATTTTTACCAATTGTTTCCAGCACTTAAATAGGTAATAAAATTTTAGTTTTTTAATCAACAATACTATAGTATGACGAGAAAACCCTATTACTGCTCTAAGGCAGTATGTAATCTAAACTAGTAAATAAACAATTTATGTCCTCTGGGTAATCTAAACTGAAAGCAAGAGAATGAAGGGCTAGTCATTTTATGAATTGATTGTAATCTCTTGGGTAGTGTAGTCTTGGTAGTTAGATCTGGGAACTTGTATCTGGTCTACCGGCATGACTTTAAATTTCTATCATTGAAACTGTGCTCTTCTGGAATATGCATTTTCAGCAGCTTCCCAGATCTCAACCTGTTTGATTTGCCTGTGTTTCCTATCAAGAAAAGCTTGAAGACCTTGAGGATCATAGGGAGGTGGCATGGAGCAAGGGCTTGAATCTGAAGCATTATTCACCATTGAATATAATCTGAACTTCTTCCTCAACCCTTTGACGGAGCAAATCAGCGCCTCTTTGCACACTTCAACGGCCCCTTTTGGCACACTTGGCTGATACTTCATTAGTTTTGAGTACTCTTGTAAGAGGTGAAGCATGTAATCATACACATACTTCATTCTTAGGTTTTCTTGAACGTACCGGCTTCCTTCTTTCCCAATCTCTTGTGCCTGTGAAACTCATCGTAAGAGAAAGAAAAACTTGGGGATGGTTTGCTCAGGCTTATTTGAAAAAGCCCGAATTGGATACCAAAAAGAGCCTTAATCAACAGACTGATTCGACTGAAGTATTTTTCATTTTATTTATATTCATGAAGATTTTACCTCTTTTGGATGTGAGTTGCCCCAGTCTACTGCAAACTTTGTTGATCTGCATTTGTGTTTTTCATCAATCGGCCAGTAATGGACTGTGGGCACCAGGCTTCGTGTGAAGAAATCATAGTAACGAGGGTTTATGATCAAACTCATGGAGTCGCATGCCAGAATATACTTCTCACTAACTGACCATGAAACACCTTCAACATAAATTTTATACCTGCCACACAAATCACTTTCGTGTGAAAGGAGAAAGCATGCAAGGAGGCCTGGTTTGGTCGGTTGAAATGATTAAATGTGCTGAATTATTTGAAATGAAAAGCATTTTGTAACATCCACTCCAGCCAAACAAGCAAGTTGAAAGGTACTTATACTTATTTTGTTGATATTGACAGAATACGAGGGAGTGTGCTGTCAAACAGAGCCATAGTCTTGAAAGCTGAAACATAAAAGAATTTAGCATAAACCATACATACCTATAAGTGCATTGTTTCACTAAATCTGAGGTGTTGAATCCCTGGGTTTTCTCATGATGCCAGTCCTGAAATTGACTGATAGTCTTTAAGTAAAACAACAGTTGCAATTAACAGTTTGTTATAGGAGAGTATTGGAAATGTACAATACATGCTTATTACCATATCATAGATTCTGGCATTATAATCTTGCTTAGTAGAGGCATTGCATTTGACAAGGTCCCTCCTTGCAATGCCTAGTTTTGTATTCCCTTTCCAATATGCATAAGGTTCTCTATCCTCCCACTTTGTCTCCTCATTGCTTTCTTGCAACTCTTTCTTCAAGATTTCCCAAGGCTTTATTTTGAGTTCTGGCCTGTAAAAAGCCGAAAAGCGTCAAATAGCAAACCTTAGTAGATTGATAAAATATAGTAGTCATAGCTTAGGAGGGTGACAATGCAATTACCAACCCCAGAAGGACCAATCGGGAAACACAATGTCATAGCTCGAGTCATCACTACAATAATGAAACAACGGTGGGGGAGCGGAACCGTGCTTGGATATGTTGTGGGCCTGCTTCTTTATTACAGGCTTGTCACCACACTCAAACATCATATCTAAATCTGGGATTCGACCAGGATACAATGCAAGAAGTTGTTGAATGCCCCATAATGTGACCATGTCCCTAGTCTGGAAAGCTTGCTTATACTTCTCCACATACATGATTCCATTCAATATAATCACTCTGATATGTGCTACTTCTTGTGCTCTTTCTATCATTTCCCTCGTAACTCCTGTCACTTTCCATGGCCGTAAGTCTTCATGGATCCACCTGAAGTAGTCAGGGCATTCTTTAGCCTCTGATCTATGTTCAGTATTTTGGACAAGTAGACCTCGTGGGCATTTAGTTGAGCATGATATCTTAGGGAATATTTTGTTAGAATCTTTTTGCAGTGTTCCTGATAGAATAGACTGAAAGAAATTTGCATTATTAATATTAATGTTGTAACACTACAACAGTGATAATAACAAGTAGTCATAATTATAGTATCAATAATGATAATGATGATATGTATAATGCCTAAAAAGCCCCTGTGAACAATTTTAACGGTTGAATCAAGCAAAAGGGATTATTAGTTTTGTATGATTTAGGTATGTTTACAATGTACATGTATACATGTGTGTATAGGAAAATTTTCCTATATATATATATATAGGAAAATTCTCAGGTCCAGCACCTCCCGGTCCGAACGCCGTCCGAACACCGCCGTTTGGGGCGGTTCCCGGTGGATATTTGTGATGAAATTTTTTGAGCATGTTCCTCATCAAATCTAGTTTATCCATACCAAATTTCAGCTCAAAATTCGATCGGGAAGGCAGTCAAATAATTCGTTGAAGTTAACTGCGTTTTTCTATGTATAATTTGGCGCAGTTAACTTCAACGAATTGTTTGACTGCCTTCCCGATCGAATTTAGAGCTGAAATTTGGTATGGATAAACTAGACTTGATGAGAAACATGCTCAAAATATTTCATCAAAAAATTCCGCAGGAAACCGCCCCAAACGGCGGTGTTCGGATGACGTTCAGACAGAAAAGTGCTGGACAGAAGAATGACTTATATATATATATATATATTTAATCATATAACTAAGACACGCTTTTCAAAGTGCTAATTTTTTTGGGGGGTGGGCCGGTGGGGTATCACATATTCACATGCATTATGAATTGTAATATAAGGAGAGTTCGACTTATTTTATAAATGGCAAGGGACTAATGTGGCATCCTGAATTAATCTACCAATGATTTGAATTGCAAAACATTGTTTAAAAAATGAAATATAAATATGTTATTAGATGTAAATACCATATCCATCCATTGAACTGTTATTGCAGCGACCAGAAGGATTACAAGAAAGAATCCTACGGTAGTACTCTTATGAGGCCTGCCTATCATTCCATAAAGTGGTTTGTTTTACCTATTTTGAAAATATAAACAAATTGATTAGCGTAAATAATTTGCCTCATTCCCTAGTAAAAAGAATCAAGGATTAAGAGAATTAATTAAGTGATTAGGAGAATTTAAAGACAATAAGGGGACCACATAATGTGATTAATGTCGTTCCCTCATTTCCTATTAGCTGTTTATGATTCAAAAATCACCTTAGAATTTTGGTCATAATTCTCGGGTTGTGAACAATTGAAGAATCAGTCATGAAAGTGATCTGATATGACTTCAGGGTTTTCAGCACAAGTATATCAACCTATGCCCATATTCTTGCACACACATATATTAAGTTACCTTTTTACATTATAATTTCATGTCTTATTATGCACATTAGAGCCTATCAAAATGAAACAAAGAATGTAATTGGTTTGACACTATAACGATGGATGTCCAAAGAGAAGGTAACATGTTCAGTCTCATCTCAATTAAAAATGTTGACGTGACATTATTTTGAAGATATACTATATTCTAATTAGGTTTAGAAGGATATGCAAAAATGATGCATTTCATAGACTCCATCAAGATTGATTTGCTAAACTTCATCAAATAATAAATAATCTCGCATAGAATAGCGGGGTTTTCCTAAAATATGATTAATATAATCGTCTTGTTGAGGCGCACATTCTGGTATTTTTCTTTTAATTTTTCAGGCACTTTTGAAAATCGGGGATACTATTAATTAACCGTCTTTCTCAAGCGTTGTTAATGGCGTGACCCTCTTGTGATAACGAAATTCAAACACATGAACCACTTTGATAAACAATGATATACATGACCTTATCCGAAAACGGACTCAACCACAAGTACTTTTTCCATATTTTTCCCTAAAAACAAACATCATTTTTATATATCTTAGGCGGCAAAGTAGTTATGATCACATAACAACTCCACATGCACAATAAAATTTGGTAATTTTTTTTGACAGAAGGTAATATTTTTTACTATCTGGCGCATATGGTATTGAGATGAGAGATGCAAATATCGACTTACCCACTCTATTGGTAATTTTTTGATGTTGACTTAGCATTGCTCTTAAAATTTTCCATTAGTCAATTTGGAAATATACATGGTGCTGGCTGTTAAATTATGCATTCTGCACAACATACCATTCTGTCTTCTGGCTTAGCTTAAAGCAAGCAATGAACTTTCTGCTATTATGAAAAAAATAAAGAATTAATTAGCAAATAGAGATTTTTTTTTAAATGTGGGTGATAGGGAGAGGGAGAGGGAGAAGGAGAGAGATCATAGGTTTTATGAGGTGACAAAGAAATCAAGGCTTTGCCACAAGGGTCTTGGAGAGTTTCCAGGGTATCCAGAGCAAAGCAATTAATAATGCTATGTTTAAGGTTTATTAGTTGCCCAATTGGCCAATTGCTTTTTCGTAAATATTCAATGCATCCATACACTACTTAATCCCTAATACATTACAAATTTGTGTTATTAAAATTATGAAAAGATAAAATGTGTTTTAATTTCGCACTATAAAAACAAACCATTGGTTGCAACTTGCAATTTAACACCATTGACCATAATAATCTAATATTCGAGCTAAAATTTATATTCATGTTTCAATAATACTCACTTACACACTGATTTTTTTTTGTCAAAAATCCAAAATAATGAAATCGTATTACGGAGTATTATTTATTCAACAAAATTGCCGTTGGTTAGACCTCGTCATCCTTCACCGCCACTACAAGAAAAACTAGTTTTTGCGTCAACAAAAAGTGGTCGCGAATAGTCAAAAGTCGACACAAACACTTCATTTGCATCGACAGGTGGACACTAATGGGTCAACGCAAATGTCTCGACGCAAATAATTTTTTTGCGCCCACAACGGCCGACGCAAATAACACTTTTTCTTGTAGTGCGCTCATTGTTTTGTCGTCACTCATTGTTCCCAGTGGAAGAAGGCTTGAACGAAAACAAATGTCCTTGTTGTTGACTTTGTAAGGAAAGATTTGTGATTTTAGTTCAGCTGATTAGGAATGAACACTCAGGGGAGGAGCCAGGATCTACTGTCATTGGTGCATGTCAATTTACGAAAGATTATCTATGCCTATACATAAATTTCTTATTTTTCAGTGGTGTTAATTTAAAATTTAATTTTTTTTATATACATATATATGGGGAAAAACAAATCTAGTGGCCGGCCTGGCTAACTGCATTTCGGTTAACCAACTTTTGGTTAATTAACCGTGATTTCGGTTGGTATGTCTATAACAATTATTAGCAACAATAACTGTACCATAGCATTGATTAATCAGGTAACATTTAATCATAAAAATAGTTAACCATTAATTTTAATTAGTCCTGTATAGATATTTTTTCCATGAAGGAAAGATACATGCATAGGTTCTGCATGCCCGCATGGTATAGTAGTATGGTACGTAATATATATGGTGGAATGTCAACCGACTCATTGGAAAACATGGGAAGTTTTAGGACATCAAATTATAAACTAGGATACGAATACAATCTTATTTCTTACCTTATTAAAAATGATCTCACTTAAAAAGTTAGAAAAATCAATGCATAATTAAAATTGTCCTACTTCGATATAATTTAAAATTTAGAAAAGTTACGTTAATTAACTACGCAAACAACTCAGGAGTATATGTTTTTAATTATATTAGAAAACAGATTACGGATGCATGCATAGATACGATAAGGTTTCGTGATCAATAATTGAAGTAGCTAATATTTAGAAAATAGATCATGGATAGATCAGACAAGGATTTTCAATCTAATAGACCATATTTAGACAGGAATTTGTTACAAGAAAGTTCTAACCTCCCACTAGGAACTATGATTTAGCAATGAAAAGCTTTGTAATATGGAAGTTTAGTGAAGCATGAGTCCAAGCACAGAGTAAAGTTTAGAATAACACTTTCTCTTTTGCTAGATATCTCGTGAATGCTCGTGATAGAAATTCTCTCTTTGGATGCTCAAAACTTGGTTAGAAACTTTCGTTTCAGCCTATTATTATAGGCATCTCCTTTGAATTAATCTCATCCGTTGGTTAGGATGGATTAATCTTTGACGTTGAAATTCTGACAAGGACAAATTGTACATTCGTCTTCTTGCGCTGGAGCTTTAATTCAGGCTGATGTATTTGTCTTGAATAATTCAGCCGCTGAAGCTTCTCTTCAAAAAACAGTTCCATGTGTGCGTCCCATGCCAAGGCCCCCAGTACTTGAATCAGTATTAAATACGGGTCAAGTTTTGTCTTCAATCACCCATTAGATATTACGAGCTTCGTGACATACGAGTAATTTTTGAGTCAAATAATATTTACCGGTAGGATTCAAATATCCTATTAAGGTAGACAAATTTTACCTTATTGCATTTTTACTTTTCCGGTAATATTTCTTAGACTCAGAAATTGTACATTTAATTTGTCACGTTAATACTTGAACAAAATGAGACACAATGTACACGTGCTAAGTATAGTGGCATCATCAAAATCTTATCAAAATTGGGTACTAACAACCCTAAACCCTAAACCCTAAATCCTAAACCCTAAACCCAAAACCCTAAACCCTAAACCCTAAACCCTAAACCCTAAACCCTAAACCCTAAACCCTATACCCTAAACCCTAAACCCTAAACCCTAAACCCTAAACCCTAAACCCTAAACCCTAAACCCTAAACCCTAAATCCTAAACCAATTTCTTGTAGTGCAAATCTAGTGGCCGGCCTGGCTAACTGCATTTCGCTTAACCAATTTTTGATTATTTAACCGTGATTTCGGTTGGTATGTTTATAACAATTATAAGCAACAATAATCGTACCATAGCATTGATTAATCAGGTAACATTTAACCATAAAAATAGTTAACCATTAATTTTAATTAGTCCTGTATAGATATTTTTTCCATGAAGGAAAGATACATGCATAGCTAGGTTCTGCATGCCCGCATGGTATAGTAGTATGGTACGTAATATATATGGTGGAATGTCAACCGACTCATTGGAAAACATGGGAAGTTTTATGACATCAAATTATAAACTAGGATACGAATACAATCTTATTTCTTACATTATTAAAAATGATCTCACTTAAAATAATTTAAAATCAATGCATAATTAAATCAATGCATTAATTAAAATTGTCTTACTTCGATATAATTTAAAATTTAGAAAAGATACGTTAATTAACTACGCAAACAACTCAGGAGTATATCTTTTTAATTATATTAGAAAATAGATTCCGGATGCATGCATAGATACGATAAGGTTTCGTGATCAATAAATGAAGTAGACAATATTTAGAAGCTTTATATTTATGTAGTATATCTTTATATATGAGTATATCTTTATATATATGTAGATCAACGGAAATATTGAAGCTTCTGATAATCACGACTAGGCTTGGATTCGGTTCGGCCACCCGGCCCGTGACCCGGCCCGGCCCGGTACTGTGCGGGCCCGGGACCGGCCCGGTTCGGGCGGTCCGGGACCGGGTATGGGCCCGAACCGGTGGGAAGGGCGGGGCGGGCTCGGTTCAGCATTTTTGTGACCCGGCCCGGCCGGGTCGGGCCCGGGCCCGGGTCCGGTCCAATTTTTAATTTTTTTTTTTGTTTGGGCTCCTACTAGCCGTTGGGGGTGGGGCTGGGGACAACCCAAACGGCTATATAGCCGTTGGGTGGGGTAAAGGGGGGGTCCGGGGGGGTTGGGTGGTGGGGGGGGTTGGTGGGGGGGGGGGGGGGTGGGGGGTAAAAAAAACCTATAAATACTCCTAATCTTAAACATTTTTTCATATCTCTTCTCCAATTCTTCCTATTCTTATCTCTCTACTCTCTAATTCTCTTATTCTCCAATATATTATATATCTACTCTCATATTCTCTTCTCCAAGAAGTTAAGATGGAAAATCAAAATGCCATTATACGGTATAATTTTGATAAGCAGAAGGACCCGAAGACCGGGATGTGGTACGCAATTTGCAAATTGTGCGAAAAAAAATGTATAATGGGGGCTTCAGGCGGATTCGGGATGGCAATCAAGCATATGAAGTCATGTGACAAAGCCAAAGGTTCGGGAGGTGCAGGAAGTTCCGATTGATTACAATTTTCAAAATGTTCATCTCTTATATGTAGTTCCTATTTCATTTCAAATAAATGCAATTGAAGTTTGTTTTTAATACTCGTATAAAACTATAAACTATAAATATAAATTATAAAAAAAAAATAACCGGCCGACCCGAACCGGACCCGACCCGTGACCCGGGCGGGTGGCCCGGCCCGAACCGGACCCGTCCAACCCGCGGGCCGGTCCCGGGCCCACTTTTCTTGAACCGGCGGCCCGACCGGGCCTAGGCCCGGCCCGGGCCCGACCCGACCCGAATCCATCCCTAATCACGACGACTACAATAATGATCGGAAGCATTGGGTTAAGTTTGAGAGTGTCCAAAATTTGACGGTTGTTGGCGGTGGAACTTTTAATGGGAACGGGAAAACATGGTGGCAAAACTCTTGTAAAATAAATAAAAGTCTCGTAAGTGATCATATTTTAGTACATCAAATCATATATAAAATTTTGTTTTTTAATTATTTTTAATTTTGGATATATAAATATATTTTACTGAATGAATTGTCCCGTTTTCTTTGTAGCCATGCACCGATGCGCCCACGGTACGTTTTCTTTTCACCACCATATTGTTAATTATATCATTATCGATCTTACTTATCAACTTATCAATTATCTTTTCGATATGTTCTTACATACCAATTAAAAGTAAAATCATTGTAAAATTAGGAAATATAATACGTAGTACGAGAGCTATGCTATATAATCATTCGTGATCGAGTAGAAGTTCATTAGCTCAATTTAAAAATCACACTGTCATGTTTTTGACATTAACTAAATAGTCAACATTAATGTTATGAGGTTTTTTTATGTCCTACTAATAAAAAGTTTATGGAAAAAAATATTACTCATTATTAGTGACTACTTAAATATATAATGTAAGTTATTATGATGTAAACTTTGAAAACAATTATCGTTACTAATAGTTATTAAGTAAAATTTTCGTCCACCACATTGAAAGAATAATACAAAGTAATATATAATTTTTTTCTAATGTTATACTACGTACGTAGTAATTGAAAATAATTTCAATTATCACAATAATTAGTTCCATTAATGTGAATAACATGGTAATCATATACGTAGTATATTTTTAGTTATTATATATATATATATAT